AAAGTGTTTACTTCAGATAATCACAGTTTATAAATGCAAAATAATAATTAAGTTAATAAATTAATTCTTTTCACCTCTTCCTATTTGCAATATAAATAGTGTTTTGTTGTTGTTGTTAAGTGCCATCGAGTCAGTATCATCTCATAGCAACATTATGCACAACAGAACAAAATACTGCCCTATCCTGGGCCAACCACACTATTGTTGCCACGCTTGAGCCCCTTGATGCTGCCACTGTGCCAAGCCATGTTGCTGGGGGTCTTCCTCTTTTTCTCTGACCCTTCGCCTTACCAAACATGATATCCTTCTCGAGCAACTGATCCCTCCTGAAAATATGTCCGAAGTATGAGAGACAAAGTTTGGCCATCCTGGCCTCCAAGGAGCACTCTGGTTGCACTTCTTCCAACATAGATATGTTGGTTCTTTTGCAAGCCAAAGACCCTTTCAATATTCTCCTCCAACACCATAACTCAAAGGCATCAATTCTTCTATGGACTTCCTTATTCACTGTCCAGCTTTTGCATGCATATGAGGTGATAGAAAATACCATGGCTTGTGTTAGGCGCACCTTAGTCTTCAAGCTGACATCTTTGTCTTCAACATTTTATAAAGGTCTTGTGCAGCAGATTTGCCTAAACATTAACTTTAGACAGTATAAAAGACGATTATACACATGGACCTCACTAGATGGAATACAGAACAATCGAATTGACTACAACTGCAGAAAGAGACAATGGAAAACCTCCATATCATCAGTGAAAACAAGGCCAGGGGCAGACTGTGGAACAGACCATCAATTACTTATATGCAAATTCAAACTGAAGCTGAAGAAAATGAAAACAAGTCCACAAGAGCCAAAATATGACCTTGAATATATCCCACCTGAATTTAGAGATCATCTGAAGAACAGATTTGATACATTAAACACTAAAGACCGAAAACCAGAAGAATTGTGGGATGACATCAAGAAAATCATACAGGAAGAAAGCAAAAAGGCATTGAGAAGACAAGAATAAAGGAAAAGGTCAAAATGGATGTCAAAAGAGACACTAAAACTTGTTCTCCAGCGTAGAGATGCTAAAGCAAATGTAAGAAATGAGGAGGTCCAAGAGCTGAACAGAAAATTTCAAAGATCAGCTCGAGAAGATAAAGACAAATATTATAACAAAATGTTCAAAGATCTGGAATAAGAAAACCAAAAAGGAAAAACATGCTCAGCATTTCTCAAGCTGGGGGAACTGAAGTAAAAAATTTATGCCTTGCCTTTCGTTGTTGAAAGATTCTCTGGGCAAATTATTGAATGATGAAGAAAGCATCAAGAGAAGATGGAAGGAGTATACAGAGTCACTGTACCAAAAGAAAATGGTTAATATCCAACCATTTCAAGAGGTAGCATATGATCAAGAGCCAATGATCCTGAAGGAGGAAGTCCAAGGTGCATTGAAGGAATTGGCAAAGAACAAGGCACCAGGAATTGATGGAATAAAAATTGAAATCTTTAAAGAAAGTGAGGCAGCACAGGAGACACTCACTCATCTCTGCCAAGAAATTTGGAAGACAAGTGATCTGGCTGATTGATTGGAAGAGAACCATATTTGTCCCCATTCTAAAAAGAGATGACTCAATGTAATGGGGAAATCATTGGACAATCTGTTTGATATCCCATGTGAGTAAAATTTTGCTGAAGATAATACAGAAATGGCTGCAAGCATACATTGACAGAGAACTTCTAGAGGTTCAAGCCAGATTTAGATGAGGCCGTGGAACACGGGATATCATTGCTGATGTCCGATGGATCTTGGCTGAAAACAGAGAATATCAGTAGGATGTTTACATGTGCTTTATTGACTACGCAAAGGCTTTCAATTGTGTGGATCATGATAAGCTATGGACAACATTGAGAAATGTGAGTATTCTGGAACACTTAATTGTGCTCATGAGGAATCTATACATGGACAAAGAAGGAGTTGTTTGAACAGAACATGGGAACACTGAATGTTTTAAAATTAAGAAAAGTGTGTGACAAAGTTGTATTTTTTCACCATATTTATTCAACCTTTAGGCTGAGCATATAATCCGAGAAGCTGGGTTATATGAAGAAAAACATGGCATCAGGATTGGAGGAAGACTCATTAACATCTGCGATATGCAGATGATACAACCTTGCTTGCTGAAAGTGAAAAGGACCTAAAACATTTGCTGATGCAGATCAAAGAGCACAGTCTTTGGTATGGATTACATCTCAATGTAAAGAAAACAAAAATCCTCACCACTGGACCAATAAACAACATTCTTATCAATGGAGAAAAGATTG